GGTACGCCATGATGACAAGCAAGGTACGCCATGATGACAAGCAAGGTACGCCATGATGACAAGCAAGGTGCGCCATGATGACAAGCAAGGTACGCCATGATGACAAGCAAGGTACGCCATGATGACAAGCAAGGTGCGCCATGATGACAAGCAAGGTAGCGCCATGATGACAAGCAAGGTACGCCATGATGACAAGCAAGGTGCGCCATGATGACAAGCCAAGGACGCCATGTGATGACAAGCAAGGTACGCCATGATGACAAGCAAGGTACGCCATGATGACAAGCAAGGTGCGCCATGATGACAAGCAAGGTACGCCATGATGACAAGCAAGGTACGCCATGATGACAAGCAAGGTACGCCATGATGACAAGCAAGGTACGCCATGATGACAAGCAAGGTACGCCGCCATGATGAACAAGCAAGGTACGCCATGATGACAAGCAAGGTACGCCATGATGACAAGCAAGGTGCGCCATGATGACAAGCAAGGTACGCCATGATGACAAGCAAGGTACCCATTTGATGACAAGCAAGGTACGCCATGATGACAATAGCCAAGACAAAAGGTACGCCATGATGACAAGCAAGGTACGCCATGATGACAAGCAAGGTACGCCATGATGACAAGCAAGGTACGCCATGATGACAAGCAAGGTACGCCATGATGACAAGCAAGGTGCGCCATGATGACAAGCAAGGTACGCCATGATGACAAGAGCAGAGGTACGCCCATGATGACAAGCAAGGGTGACGCCCATGATGACAAGCAAGTACGCCATGATGACAAGCAAGGTGCGCCATGATGACAAGCAAGGTACGCCATGATGACAAGCAAGGTAGCGCCATGGATGACATCAAGGTACGCCATGATGACAAGCAAGGATACGCCATGATGACAAGCAAGGTACGCCATGATGACAAGCAAGGTACGCCATGATGGACAAGGCAAGGTACGCCATGATGAACAAGCAAGGTGCGCCATGATGACAAGCAAGGTACGCCATGATGACAAGCAATGTACGCCATGATGACAAGCAAGGTACGCCATGATGACAAGCAAGGTGCGCCATGATGACAAGCAAGGTACGCCCATGATGACAAGCAAGGTACGCCATGATGACAAGCAAGGTACGCCATGATGACAAGCAAGGTACGCCATGATGACAAGCAAGGTACGCCATGATGACAAGCAAGGTACGCCATGATGACAAGCAAGGTACGCCATGATGACAAGCAAGGTACGCCATGATGACAAGCAAGTACCCATGAGACAAGCAAGGTACGCCATGATGACAAGCAAGGTGCGCCATGATGACAAGCAAGGTACGCCATGATGACAACAGGTCGCATGATGACAAGCAAGGTACGCCATGATGACAAGCAAGGTACCATGATGACAAGCAGTCGCCATGATGACACAAGGTCGCCATGATGACAAGCGTACGCATATACAAGCAAGGTACGCCATGATGACAAGCAAGGTACGCATGATAAAGCAAGGTGCCATGATGACAAGCAAGGTACGCCATGATGACAAGCAAGGTGCGCCATGATGACAAGCAAGGTACGCCATGATGACAAGCAAGGTACGCCATGATGACAAGCAAGGTACGCCATGATGACAAGCAAGGTGCGCCATGATGACAAGCAAGGTACGCCATGATGACACAAGCAAGGTACGCCATGATGACAAGCAAGGTACGCCATGATGACAGTCCAAGGTACGCCATGATGACAAGCAAGGTACGCCATGATGACAAGCAAGGTACGCCATGATGAAAGAAGGTACGCCATGATGACAGCAAGGTACGCCATGATGACAAGCAAGGTACGCCATGATGACAAGCAAGGTACGCCATGATGACAAGCAAGGTACGCCATGGATGAAAGCAAGGTCGCATGATGACAAGCAAGGTACGCCATGATGACAAGCAAGGTGCGCCATGATGACAAGCAAGGTACGCCATGATGACAAGCAAGGTACGCCATGATGACAACAAGGTGCGCATGATGACAAGCAAGGTACCATGATGACAAGCAAGGTACGCCATGATGACAAGCAAGGTACGCCATGATGACAAGCAAGGTACGCCATGATGACAAGCAAGGTGCGCCATGATGACAAGCAAGGTACGCCATGATGACAAGCAAGGTGCGCCATGATGACAAGCAAGGTACGCCATGATGACAAGCAAGGTAACGCCATGATGACAAGCAAGGTACGCCATGATGACAAGCAAGGTACGCCATGATGACAAGCAAGGTACGCCATGATGACAAGCAAGGTCGCCATGATGACAAGCAAGGTACGCCATGATGACAAGCAAGGTACGCCATGATGACAAGCAAGGTACGCCATGATGACAAGCAAGGTGCGCATGATGACAAGCAAGGTACGCCATGATGACAAGCAAGGTACGCCATGATGACAAGCAAGGTACGCCATGATGACAAGCAAGGTACGCCATGATGACAAGCAAGGTACGCCATGATGACAAGCAAGGTACGCCATGATGACAAGCAAGGTACGCCATGATGACAAGCAAGGTACGCCATGATGACAAGCAAGGTGCGCCATGATGACAAGCAAGGTACGCCATGATGACAAGCAAGGTAGCGCCATGATGACAAGCAAGGTACGCCATGATGACAAGCAAGGTGCGCCATGATGACAGCAAGGTACGCGCCATGATGCAAGCAAGGTACGCCATGATGACAAGCAAGGTACGCCATGATGACAACAAGGTAGCCATGATGACAAGCAAGGTGACGCCCATGATGACAAGCAAGGTACGCCATGATGACAAGCAAGGTACGCATATGACAAGCAAGGTGCGCCATGATGACAAGCAAGGTGCGCCATGATGACAAGGGGGCGGAAGGGTACGCCATGATGACAAGCAAGTACGCCATGATGACAAGCAAGGTAGCGCCATGATGACAAGCAAGGTACGCCATGATGACAAGCAAGGTACGCCATGATGACAAGCAAGGTGCGCCATGATGACAAGCAAGGTACGCCCATGATGACAAGCAAGGTGCGCCATGAGGACAAGCAAGTACGCCATGATGACAAGCAAGGTACGCCATGATGACAAGCAAGGTGCGCCATGATGACAAGCAAGGTACGCCATGATGACAAGCAAGGTACGCCATGATGACAAGCAAGGGTTGACGCTCATGATGACAAAGCAAGGTGCGCCATGATGACAAGCAAGGTACGCCATGATGACAAGCAAGGTACGCCATGATGACACGCATGATCAAGCAAGGTACGCCATGATGACAAGCAAGGTACCCATGATGACAAGCAAGGTACGCCATGATGAAAGCAAGGTACGCCATGATGACAAGCAAGGTGCCAATACAAAAGGACCATGATGACAAGCAAGTACGCCATGATGACAAGCAAGGTACGCCATGATGACAAGCAAGGTGCGCCATGATGACAAGCAAGGTACGCCATGATGACAAGCAAGGTAGCGCCATGATTGACAAGCAAGGTACGCCATGATGACAAGCAAGGGTGACGCATGATGACAAGCAAGGTACGCCATATGACAAGCAAGGTACGCCATGATGAAAGCAAGGTCGCCATGATGACAAGCAAGGTACGCCATGATGACAAGCAAGGTACGCCAATGATGACAAGCAAGGTACGCCATGATGACAAGCAAGGTACGCCAATGATGACAAGCAAGGTACGCCATGATGACAAGCAAGGTACGCCATGATGACAAGCAAGGTACGCCATGATGACAAGCAAGGTACGCCATGATGACAAGCAAGGTACGCCATGATGACAAGCAAGGTACGCCATGATGACAAGCAAGGTACGCCATGATGACAAGCAAGGGGTAACGCCCATGATGACAAGCAAGGTACGCCATGATGACAAGCAAGGTACGCCATGATGACAAGCAAGGTACGCCATGATGACAAGCAAGGTACGCCATGATGACAAGCAAGGTACGCCATGATGACAAGCAAGGTACGCCATGATGACAAGCAAGGTACGCCATGATGACAAGCAAGGTGCGCCATGATGACAAGCAAGGTACGCCATGATGACAAGCAAGGTACGCCATGATGACAAGCAAGGTACGCCATGATGACAAGCAAGGTACGCCATGATGACAAGCAAGGTACGCCATGATGACAAGCAAGGTACGCCATGATGACAAGCAAGGTACGCCATGATGACAAGCAAGGTGCGCCATGATGACAAGCAAGGTACGCCATGATGACAAGCAAGGTACGCCATGATGACAAGCAAGGTACGCCATGATGACAAGCAAGGTACGCCATGATGACAAGCAAGGTACGCCATGATGACAAGCAAGGTGCGCCATGATGACAGGCAAGGTGCGGAGTCTATTTCTGAGGCGCCACAACCACCTTCTTGAGGTATGGAACCGAACACGGGGCCGAACAACCTCCAAAGGCCGAAGCAACCAACCAAGCTACGGATGGCAACACACTTCCTTAATTCACTAGTCCCGGCATGATAACCCCTGATACGGTTGGCAACATGGCTTCTACAAGAGCATGGCATATGGATACGCGTACCTCTCTGCGCCTTCCCTTCCTTGGCTACCGCTCTTCACCCCCGAGAGTGCAATCAAAATGGATACGCTACCAGTGGTAATGAGAACCGAGTGATACGAGCCACAAGCACAAGCACAAGCACTTAAGATGCAGCAATGTGAAGCCAGAACCAATCATGGCTCGGGATAAACGCACACGCACGCGCAAATGGGCTCTCACCGCAGCCCTTCACTCTCTCCTCCTGTGCGTCATAGGATCCCCCCGCCCCCCAACCATCACATTCACCCACCGTTGCCCGTTGCCTGTTGCCCGTTGCCCGTTGCCCATTGCGCGTTGCGCGTCGCCCGTCGCCCGTTGCCCACGCTCCGCTCCTCCATAACTTCCCTCCTCCCTTCCCCCCCCAACCCCACCCCCCTCCGCGCACCGTCCCCCCCGTGTCTGCCATCCAGGGCTCCTTTGCGTCTGCGGATGGCTCAGAGGCCTCTTTCCCGCAGCCCTTCCCCAGCGTCTCCTCCTCCCCCAGTTCCCACGCCTTCCCTGCCTCCTCCTCGCTGCCCCTCCCCTCCTCTGCCGCCCCCGCCCCCCCTCCCTTCTTCCCCTCCTCCTCCTCCCTCCCCCACCCAAATACCTCCGCCCAGTCCGCCCAGTCCGCCCAGTCCGCCCAGCCCGCCCCTTCCCCTCCGCCTCCACCAGCACCGTCCCTGGTTCCCCCTATCGTCCTCCCTCCTCCTTCCACCACCACCTCTACCCCTTCCGACCCCTCTCCACCCCCTCCGTTCCTCGCTCCTCCTGCCCACCCCGTAGCCGGCCCTGCCCCCCCGTTCGTCAACTCATCTGGACCTGCCCCTTCGGACCCACTGCAGCACCGTGCACCCCTGTCTGCCGCTGCCGCTGCCACTGTCCCTGTCCCTGCCCCTGCCCCTGCCCCCGCCCCCGCCCCCGCCCCTGCACATGAGTATATCTATGAGGCGCCTCAGCAGCCGCCTACCCCTACCCGTGAGTATGGGTATGATTACACGCCTGCACCTGCGCCTGCGCCTGCCTCTGCGCGTGAGTATGGGTATGAGTACGCACCTCCGCCTGCCCCTGTCCCCGTGCGCGCCCCTGCGCCTGCGCCTGCCCCCGTGCCTTTCCTCACTCCTGTCACTGAGCGCGGGCCCTGTTGGGATGGGGAGGGGGCTGCCTTCGTGCCTGGACCAGCTGCTCCTGCTGCCTCCATTGCTGCACCTGCTCCTTCGCCAGCGGCACCAGCCGCACCAGCAGCCGCAGCGGTAGCAGCAGCAGCAGCAGCGCCGTCCCTGGAGGAGATGCAGCAGCTGCAGCAGCGGCTGATGCAGGGCGAGATGCTGAGCGCGGGGGAGCGGCAGCGCCTGGCGGCCGGGCTCGAGCAGGTGCTCGCCATGGCCATGGGGGGCGGCGGTGGCGGCAGCATCAGCAGCAGCAGCAGAAGCAACAGTGCTGGACAGAACCTGACTGCAGCACCGGCACCGGCACCAGCAGCACCGGCAGTAGCAGCAGCAGCAGCAGCAGCAGCAGCAGCAGCAGCAGGGGCAGGGGCAGGGGCAGGGGGACAGGTAGGAGAGGGAGGGCAGGGAAGGGGAGAGGTCCCGTGGGGAATTGGGAAAGAGGAGTTCGGGGAGCAGGGACACGGGATGGGGAGTGTGGGGGCTGCTAGGGGAGGGCATGCTTGGGGAGGGGAAACGGAGGGGTATGTGAGTGGCGTGGAGGGGTATAGTGGGGGAGTGGAGGGATACGGTGGTGGAATGCCAGGGTATGGGGGCAGCGGAATGGCAGCAGTGGGAATGAGTGCTGAGATGAGCATGGGCCTTGCAGTGGTGATGGAGGGGGACGATGAGGGACTAGATAGTGAGGTGGTGGAGAGTGTTGTAGAGAGTGAGGTGGTGGAGAGTGTTGTAGAGAGTGAGGTGGTGGAGAGTGTTGTAGAGAGTGAGGTAATGGGGCAGAGTGAGGCGGGTGAGGGGGAGGGGGAGGGGCAGGGGCAGGGGGGAAGGGAAGTGGGGGAGGAGTGGAGCAGGAAGGGGGAGAGACAGGAGGTGATGGGAGGGGGAGGTGAAGGGGTGGGAGGGGGCAGAGTTGGGAGTGAGGAGGGAAGGAATGGTGTAGCTGGTGGTGTGGCTGGTGCTATGGCTGGTGCTATGGCTGGTGTTGCTGTAGCAGGTGGTTTCACTACTGGTGTGAGTGATGGGGTGAACGCCAGCAGTAGTGCGGTGCAAAGCGGTTCTGCGGTTGACATTGGCTTCACTGATAAAGGCGCCCATGTAGGTGGTGGTGGTGCTGCTGGTGCTGCTTCTTCTGCTGCTGCTGCTTCTGCTGCTGCTGCTTCTGCTGCTGCTGCTGGTGCTGCTGCTGGGAGCGCATATGAGTGGCAGCAGCAGCACGTGGGGCAGGAGCAGGAAGCGGCAGGGAGCAAGCCGGTGGCTGAGAGGGAGAGCGAGAGGAGGTGGTGGGAGGAGGAGTCTGGACCGGGGTCTGCTGTCGGAGGGGGGGAGGAGAGGGAGGGCATCGAGGGAGTGGGTGGGGGTGGAGGGGCAGAGTGGGGTCGTGTGCAGGAGCGAGCGGCAGTTGAGAGAGAGATGTTTGCTGCTGCTGTTGCTGCCAAGGCTGCTGCTGCCTCGGATATGTCAGCAGCAGGATTTGTGGGAGCAGGAGGTGCAGCAACACCGGAAGCAGCAGCAGCAGCAGCAGCTAGTACTGGCCCTTCACTGGGCCCCTTTGGGGTTGAGGAAGGCGTGGGAACCTGGCCGCATGAGACAGCGCTGGCAGCAGCAGCAGCACCGGCAGAACTGGCAGCAGCAGCAGCTGCCACTGCTTTGGGGATGGCAGGGGTGGGGCAGGCAGAGGGGGGCGTGGGGCCTGAGAAGGTGGGAGGGGTTGAGCGCAAGGGAGAAGTCAATGGAGCAGGCATTGGTGCCGGCACTGGTGAAGATCACACCAGCATATCCCCCCTCACCTCTGTTCCAGCTTCTGTAACATGCGCTACTGCTTCTGCTCTTGCCGCTGCTGCTCCTGCTCCTGCTCTTGCTGCTGATGCTGCTGCCATTCCTGCTCCCTCAACCACTTCTGATGCGGCTTACTCTGCAGCACCTGCTGCTACTGCCTCTGGACTCCCTGCATCCACTGGTCCCGTCTCGTCTGGCTATGCTGCAGCAGCCGCGCTTGCTGCTGCCCCCGCTCTTGCTGCTGCTGCTGCCATTCCTCCTCCCTCAACCGTTCCTGATGCAGCGTACTCAGCAGCACCTGCTAATGCTGCCTCTGGACTCCCTGCATCCACTGGTCCTGTCTCGTCTGGCTATGCTGCAGCAGCCACGCTTGCTGCTGCCCCCGCTCTTGCTGCTGCTGCTGCCATTCCTCCTCCCTCAACCGTTCCTGATGCAGCGTACTCAGCAACACCTGCTAATGCTGCCTCTGGACTCCCTGCATCCACTGGTCCCGTCTCGTCTGGCTATGTTGCAGCAGCCGCGCTTGCCGCTGCCCCTCCCTTCTTCTCCCCTCCTCGCCCCCCCTCCTCTGTTGCAACTTATAATTACGGATCGAGTAACCAGTCAGGTGGTGCAGGTGGGCTCTACACGTTCAGCGGGCTCACTGGTAGTGATTACACGGGAAGTGACTATAACGACAGTGGCTGCTTCGTAGAAGGGGGGAGCAGCGCTGCTAACACTGCAGGGTTCCCTGCTGCTAACCCTGCTGGGGTTACCGCTGCTAGTGCTTCTGGGTTTGCTGCAGCAGCAGGAGCGACAGCAGCAGCAGGGGGAGGAGGCATGGGATACACGAGTGCAGTGCCAACAGCAGCAGCAGGAGGAGAACTGGGTTATATGAGTGCAGCGCCAGCAGCAGCAGCAGCAGCAGCAGGAGCAGCAACGGGAGGAGGACTGGTTTACATAAATGAAGTGCCAACAGCAGCAGCAGCAGCAGCAGCAGCAGCAACAACAGGTGTGGGGTATACGAATGAAGTGCCAGAAGCAGCAGCAGCAGCAGCAGCAGCAGGCGGAGTGGGGTTCATGAGCGATGTGTGTGGCGCTCCCTCAGGCGAGGGAGGAGGCGGCGGGTACACTGAGGTGTTCCAAGCCAAGCTGGCTGCCAGGCAGCAACATGCTGCTGTGGGAGTTGACTATAGCACCGCTGCTGCAGCAGGGGGAGGGGGAGCAGGGGGAGCAGGGGGAGGAGGAGCAGGGGGAGGAGGAGCAGGGGGAGGAGGAGCAGGGGGAGGAGGAGGAGCAGCAGGAGCGTTAGCGGAGGAGGAGGAGGAAGCGTGGGTGGGCAGAGAGGAGGATATGACAGGCGAACTAGGCGGGTCAATGGGGGGGATGGTTATGGCGCCGCCTTTCGTTGGCATGGACTCGCCCACCTTTGTCAGGCGTGCCGGTAGCATGTCCGACAGTGCATCTGCTGAGATGGCAGCAGCAGCTGCAGGAGTAGGAGGAGGAGCCTTGGTAGTCGTGCCAGTCCATGCACCAGGCACGGGTTCAGGATCATCATCCGGGTCTGGGGTCGTTGGGGCAGGGGCAGGGTCAGGCAGAGGTTCGGTAGTAGGCTCAGGAGTAGGTTTGGGAGTAGGGTCGGGCGCAGGTTCAGACGTGGGTTCAAGTGGGCAGATGCAAGGCAGTGATTCTGGGAGGATGGGGCAGGGAATGGGACAGTCGGGGCAGCAGGGATGGCAGCAGGGGGGGCAGCAGCAGCGTGGGCAGCAGGGGGGGATGTATGTTGGTCCAGGGCTCACAGGGCAGCCTTATGCCACGCAGGTTTTTCCAGGGCAAGGGTATGCAGGGTCCGGGCAGGGGCAGGGGCAGGGGCAGGGGCAGGGGCAGGGGCAGGGGCAGGGGCAGGGGCAGGGGCAGGGGCAGGGACAGGGGCAGGTGCAGGGGCAGGCGCCACAGGGGCAGAGTCAGGGGCTTCCTGGCCAGGGTCAGGGTTATCCAGGGCAGGTTTACCCAGCGCAGGGGCAGGGTCAGGATCAGTGGCAGGGTCAGGGGCAGGGGCAGGGCCAGTGGCAGGGTCAGGGGCAGGGGCAGGGGCAAGGTTACCCACCGCAGGTGTACCCGGGGCAGGTGTATCCAGGGCAGGCGCCGTATGCAGGGCAGGTGCATGCGGCAGGTGGCGGGTTTGCTGCTGCAGGAGCAGCAATTGCAGGGCAGCCAGGAGCACCACCACCACCCTATGCGGTACGTGCTATTGCACCGCGTGTGTTGTTGCTAGTCATTCTCCTCCCTCCTTCCCCCATTTCCTTGCCCCCCTACCCCGTGCCCTGTCCCCTCCCCTCTGACACACACACACACACACACACACACACACACACACACACAAGGCCACACTGCCACACACTCCACTTTCTGTTTCTATTGTTGGACCTGCACCTCTGTTGCTCGAGCCTCCTTTTGAAGCAAAAGCGTCCTCTGTTCCCTATTCCATGCACTAGGTGCAGAAGCCACCACGCAAGAAGGGAGGGTTCTGCAGTTGTTTTGGCGTTTGAGTCCCCCTTGAGGCCTTTATCCCAGCAATCGTATAAGGTTATGGTACTATATTGTGCATTTGTGCTGTAATAGCGTGCCCAAGCCCTGCAGCTGTGCAAGACACTCACTTCTTTTCTGCTCATTATGACCTTGCCTAGTTACTGTCAAACACATGTGCATGTTACTATAGGCTAGATAGGTGCGTACTCTTCAGAGAGTACAACCCTTTAGCACAAAACCACAGTGTATCTCTCATTCTACTCAATTCTTAACTCAGAAATGGTATCACGCTAGGTTAGGTCCTCCCCGCCCACCCGCGCTTCCGCCCTAGACCTAGCCCTCGTCCTAGCCGCCCGTTGCTAGCCGCCCGTCGCTAGCCCCCCGTTCCTAGCCGCCCCTCGCTAGCCGCCCGTTGGTAGCCATCTGTCGCTAGCCGCCCGTTCCTAGCCGCCCGCCGGCACGTGCCGCCCGTAGCTGCCAATCGCCTGTAGCCGCTGGCCGCCTGTTGCCGCCAGCTGCCCGTAGCCCCGAGCCCGTCGTGTTAGAATACTAGAATAACTAGAAACAAGGGTGAACAAGGGAAATATAGGGTTGCAGTTGTACTCTCTAAAAACATACACCTATTCTAGCCTATAACTTCTACATACTAACACATGTATAAGTTGACACACCCCCTAGGCTAGATAAGGGGTAGTGCGCGTTAGAAACACGCAGCTCAGGGTGGTACTACTAGCCCAACCTCTGAGGCAAGGGTCCGAAGACAAGTAAGCAAGAGTACAAACAATGCAAAAGCAAACTAGGGCGTCATTACTAGTCCGGCCATTGGAAGAGAAGCCACAAGGCCAGTCTGGAAGGTATACATATACAGGAGTACACAATCAAGGTCTTAGCAAGTGAGAGTCTACAGGAACTAGACCAAGCTGCAAACAACGTCGCTGATGATCTCTAGGCGCAAGCACGTTAGTAAAGATATCAGCTGTGTTGGCACCGGAGGCCAAGTGTACTACGCGGGCCTGGCGACGTTGCTGTAGCTCGCGCAGGAGGAAGTACCGCAACTGGATGTGCTTCGCTCTGCCCTCAAGTCGAGGCTCCTGACACAGGAGGATCATGGTCCTGTTGGTCAGCATACAGAATCAGGGCAGAGCTAGGCCGCTCACCTAAGTCCGCGAGCAAGAAGGTCAGCCAGCAGTAGCCCTGGGAGGACCTGAGGGTCTCAGCGTCGTCTGCCCAAAAAGCGTCAGTGTGCCCTGTAAGGACCACTGACCTGCGTCCTCCAAGCACTAACCCTTTGCCCGATGTACTTGCTAGATAACGCAAAACCCTCTTAGCGGCCGACCAGTGTTGTGGTCGGTGTCTGCCTGTGGCCACAAAGCGAGCTAGGATGCTGAGAGGGTATGCGAGATCTGGACGAGTGCAAGTCATCAGGTACATGAGGCAACCCACCAGCTCTGCGTACGGACCACTAGGCTCTACTGACTCCTCAAGAACTGGAGCAGAGAGCTGGTGATCTACTGGCAGAGGTGTGGGCTGTGCGGAGGACAACTGAAGACCGAACCTTTGAAGAACCTGGCGCACCAAGTGTGACTGTGTGAGAGTGATGGTGCGCGCTGCTCTGTCCCTGGAGATCTGCAAGCCAAGGTAGCAGCGCAGCTCTCCTAGGTCAGTGCCGGTGTGTCTCCTCAGCAGCTCGGCCTTTACAGAGGCCAGTGCGTCTCTGTCTGCAATAGCAAAGACCAGGTCGTCTACGTAGACAAGGATGTAAAACAGAGTCTGGCTAGCACGAACGAAGAGCGAATGGTCTGCAGAGGACGAAAAGAACAGCATGTCAGCTAGCGTAGTACACAGCGTGTCGTGCCACTCAAGCCGCGCCTGTCGTAGGCCGTAGACCGGGCGTCCGAGGAGCCACTGGGTCCCAGGAGGGAAGGTACTAGTGAAGCGCTGCGGTCGGTGCAGGTAGACCTGCTCGTATAGGCTGCCCTGAAGAAAAGCAGTGGAGAAGTCTAGGGAGTGAAGCTCGTAGTCATGCTGTGTTGCTACGTGTAGGAGCGCCCGAAGAGTAGTCATCTTCGTGGTCAGGGCGAAGGTCTCAAAGAAGTCCACCCCCTCTCGCTGACTAAAGCCTCTAGCCACGTAGCGTGCCTTGAACACAGGCGGCTCTCCAGAGGGGCGCTTCACCTTCAAGAGCCACTGGCCATCGACTACGCTCACCCCAGCTGGAGGAACTACGCCGACGTAGGTGCCGGTGGATCTCCAACATGCCATCTCGTGCTCCATGGCAGTTATCCACTGAGAGGCCCAGGGTCCCGAGGTCGCCTTAGCGTAAGTGTGAGGGGTCGGGATGTCAAAGGCGTCTGGGTCACCCTTCGGAACTAGCAGCATGGAGCAGGGATGAGGAGCAGCCCCGAACAGGAAAGCAAGCTCGTACTGCCTGTCCTCTAGGACGTCATTGCCAAGGGCAGGAGCACCCTAGACGGATGGAGGACGGATAGGGTCAGAGACTCGAGCGGTGGCATAGTCAAGGCTGTGGGTAGAGGCAAAGTCAATGACAGCAGCGACAAGAGCGTCAAGGTGTGAGAGAGGAACAGCTGGGTCGGTAACAAGGGAGGCAAGGACGCAAGGAACAAGAGGACGAGTAGCACGAAGGTAGCCAGACAGAGGAGGAGGCGCTATAGCGAGCGATGACGGAGGAGGCGAAGGCAGGAGGGGAGGATGAGACGCATGGGAACAAAGCAACATAAGGTGAGAACGCTGAACAGTGGAGACAGGATGAGCACGAGAAGGACGGCAAGACGAGATGTGACACGGAGGCGTCGGGTCAGGGGACAGAGGACGAGTAACAGGAGGGGAACGAGGTGGAAAACAAGCCGGGGATGAGTCCGGCAGAGAAAACACAGGACGGTGGATAGGAAGGGGAGGAGGCGGTGGGGGAGGTGCAGGCGAGCGGTCATGGGAGGAAAGGCCGAGCAGGCAAAGGGCGGACACCGGCGGCGACTGCTGCTGCTGCTGCTGGACGCCAACACCTCGGCCGCCAGCTGCACCGCGGCTACCTCCGGAACACTCCACTCCAGCACCCCCAGAGCGAGAACTCTCTCCAGCACTGGTGCCACCCCCGAGCTTGCCGGGACAAGCCACGACAGGAACCCTAGGACGAGCACCCTCCTCAACGCTAGTACCGCAAGAGGCCACGAACGGCTGCTGCTACTGCGACGGCGGCGGCGACGTCGGCTGCGGCGGCGGTGGCGGCGACTGCGACGGTGGAGGAGGAGACACTGGGGGAGAGACGGGCGCCAAGAACTATGCCATAGGGCCAGCGGAGTCAGCCAACTCCTCGACCGGGACAACCGACGGGAGGGGAGTGTCGCGAGACACACCAGACGGAGCAGGACGGGGAGGGAGGTGAGCAGGGGCTACCGGGGGAGTGGGAACTAGAAACAAGGGAGGGGAAACCGGGAGACCTCGGTGGGGAAAGCGGTGGTAAAAGGAGACAGACTCGTCGAAAGTGGCGTCACGGGAGTGAAAGAAACGGTGAGATGGCGGGTGGTAAAAGTGCCAGTCAGACGAGTCAAGGGGGAAAGCGAGGAAGACACAGGGGACACTGCGGGCAGTGAGCTTGTCCATGCCAAAGGCACGAACGTGAGCGAGGCAGCCCCAGATGTGGAACGCGGACGCATTTCAAGGGAACCCGGTCAAAAGAAGGGTCGGCAAAACCTGCGGCCACTGGGAATGCGACCAGAGGTTAAGCTGGTAAGCGGTGTAGCGAACAGTGAACGACCACAGAAAATGGGGTGCACCGGCATGAATCACGGAGGTACGAGCCACCTCCATGACCAAACCGATGCGTCGCTCAGCGACCCCATTCTCCTGCGGGGAGTCAGGTAGGGTGTACGACTGGGTGATGCCCTCCGCACGACAGAACTGTCCAAGCCGACTAGAGGCGAGCTCGCCGCCACGGTCGGAGTGGAGACACAACACAGGGAGACCGTAGTGCAGGCGCGCAGCTATGACACACGGGATAAGAACGTCAGGCACGTCGGCCTTCCGCTCCAAGGGAAAAACTGTGGTGTAGCGCGTGCAGTTGTCAACGAGCACTAGAAAGTAGCTCTCGCGACGCGGTCCAAGGACGGGGGCTAGGCCCCAGACGTCCAGGTGCAGGGTCAAGAGGGGCGCGGTGGCAGGACGAAGCGAGGAGGAGTGAGGAGCACGGCGCAGCCGGGCCTTGACGCAGGGCGTGCACGGCAGTGCAGGCGAGGGAGGGAGGGTAGGAAGCGACGCAAGGAAACCTAGGACAAGGCCATGCTAGGACATGTGACACAGACGCGGGAGCGTAGGGTGACCTAGGCGGTGGTGCCACAGAAGCGACGGCGACCCTCATGAGCATGCAGCAGCGACATGGGTAGACGCAGGAGCCGGGGAGGATGCGCCCACAAGGGGGGGGAGCAGTGTCCAGCGTAAAGAGGCCAGACACCGGGTCCCGGGGGAACGTCGCAAGGGTGGAACCTGAGGTGGCCTCAGTACAAACGGTGTACCGCTTGTGACCCGGGAACGTAGTGGTGATGCCGAGGTCTTAAAGATTGCTGACATCGACTAAGTTTCGGGAGAACGAGTGGATGTGCAGGCCTGTAAGGGAACCCAAGGAGACCGCTGGACAAGGAAGGGTAGTGTACCTGCGGGCAACTAGAGGACCGAAGGAGGGGTCAGCAAGTGCGACAGCGGCATGCGCGGCAAGCGGCATAAACGCAGTGTGGTCGCGGAAGAAGCAGGCAAACGCACCGGGGTCAAGTGTGAAGGAAAGCAAAGCAGAAGTGGCAGATGAAGGAGGAGCGAGTGTGGAGCCTAGACTAGACAAAGCAAACGGTCCTACGTTTGATGCAGCAGGCCGAAGCGGTGACGAAAGAGGTCGTCGAGGCGGCGGAAGCAGCGGGCGGTCGGGTGCGGACGACCGCACACAGTGCCATGAAGGGGCCGGGTCTGGAGTTGGTACTGGCAGCCCACAACACCGAAGCCGCCAGTAGACGCCGAGTTGCGAGGACCGCCACCGCGGCCACCCCCTCTAGAGGCTCCCGGCCGCGCTGGTGGGAGGCGGGCCCACGGCTGTTGCTGCTATTGCTGCTGCGGCTTTGGCTGCGGCTGCAACTGGTACCGCTCCTGGACGCCTGCCCCAATCCCCTCGTCAGAACCACTGTTGCCGCCACCACCACCAAGCCCTCCCTTGGGGCCGCGACGGCCCCAACGCTGTCGCTGCTGCTGCGGAAAGGCCGCCGTTACGGTCTTAGTGGCAGGAGCAGCAGTAGCGACCGCAGTGGAAACGTCAGCGTACTTGCACTGGCAGGGAGCACAACCCTCAAATATAGGGACTGGCGCAGCACCGCTCGACTGAGCGATAGTGCGCTGGCGAGTCTCTATCTCAGAATGGGCAGCGACAAAAGCGGTCAAGGTGAGGTCACCAGGGTGCTGGCTAAGGAAGTGGTCGCGGGCAGTGGCTAAGCGGTCAGGCAGGCGCATTGCAATAAGATACAGGGTAGCGGTGAACGGCGGGGGAAGGCAGTGAGCTGGGCAGTAGTGCTAGCAGTGCGATAGCTAGTGTCTAGTGCACGGAGGTGAGTGAAGAGATCAGCGACAGTGGGGAAAGCGGAGAGATCAGGGAAGAGCATGGGAAGGATCAAGCGTCCAGCTGAGGCAGAGGCTGGCGTGGAGTAGCAGGTAACTACTGCATCTAAGAAATCTTTGGCGTTCGCGACAGCAGTGAAACGCGAGCGCTCAGAGAGGGGCAGGGCATGGCTAATGGCAAGCTGCACTACAGCATCGCAAGAATCCCGGACAGCGCGAGCTAGTGCCGTAGCAGCAAAGGCCTCAGTCTCAGCAGTGGTGGGGTCAGCAAGGAGGGGATCAAGCACAGAGGGGCGGGAAAGCAAGACATCAACATGCATAGCCAGGGAGTGCCCATCCTGGTGCTGACTTGTCAGGTGCCGGCGAAGATCGACAAGCCAGGCGGTGAAGTCGATCGCGTGCCCCTCCCCGTCCAGACATAGCATGGCGTCCGCCATCGCAAAATTGCAGCGGCACCGGGACACAGTGGCACAGTGACACAGCGGCTCAGCGGCACAGGGACACAGGGACGTAGCAGCACGGCGGTACAGCGACGTTGCGGCAGGACGCGCCGGAGCAGGAACAGGGCGCACGAGGAGTCAGAGGGCGCGAAAGGAGGGCCGAGGCGCACGAGGGGCCGGACAGGCGGTAGGGGCCGGCTAGGCACAAGGGGCCGGCTAGGGCGCAAGGGGCCGGCTAGGACGCGAGGGGCCGGCTAGTTCACGAGGGGCTGGCTAAGGCGCGAGGGGGGGCGGCTGGGCGCGCGGGGCCGACTAGGGCGTGAAGGGCCGACTAGGGCGCGAGGGGTTGACTAGGGCACGAGGGGCCGGCTGGGCGCGCTGGGCCGGATGGGCGCGGAGGGGCTGACTAGGGTGCGTAGGGCCGGCTGGGGCGCGAAGGGGCCGACGAGGACACGAGGGGCCGGCTTGGCGCGCGGGGCCGACTAGGGCGCGAGGGGCCGACTAGGGCTTGAGGGGCCGGCTGGGGCGCGAAGGGGGGCCGGCTAGGCGCGAGGGGCCGACTACGGCGGGAGAGGGGGCCCGCTAGGCGCGAGGGGCCGGCTTCGGCGTGAGAGGGGCCGGTTGGGCGCGAATGGGCCGGCTAGGCACGAGGGGCCGGCTACGGCAGGAGGGGCCGGCTGCAGTGAGAGAGGGGCCGGCTGGGCGCGAGGGGCCGGCAACGCGCGAGGGGCCGGCTACGGTGGGAGGGGACGGCGGGCACGCTGGGGGCCGGCGAACACGCTAGGGGCCGGCGAGGAACGGTATGCTAGGGCGCAGGGCGGAAGCAGGTGGGTGGACCTAACCTACTCATGAGACCATGTTAGAATACTAGAATAACTAGAAACAAGGGTGAACAAGGGAAATATAGAGTTGGAGTTGTACTCTCTAAGAACATACACCTATCTAGCCTATAACTTCTACATACTAACATATGTATAAGTTGGCACGTCGACCCTAGCTCGCTGGCCCTAGCACGCCGTCCCTTGCTCGTCACCGGCCCGCTGCCCGCCGGCCCTCGCTTTCCGGCCCCGTGCGTTGGTCCCGCGCTCGCTGGCCCTGCGTTCACCGGCCCCTCGCTAGCTAGCTCCGCGCCCGCTGGCCCCGCGCTTGCCAGCCTCGCGCCCACTGGCCCCGAGTTCATCGGCC